AAAGGGGCACAAAGGAAAACAAAGAAAAACTCCACCTTAGGTCGGTTTCCAGCCAACGGAGTAAAGAAGTAGACACACAGATTTCCAGACAAGTTGATTAGCAACAAAACCCAGTCACTGCATGAGAGTGAGTTCTGGGACCATATCTGTGTTTGGCAGACTTGGTTGAAAGGCCCAACTTTGTCATCACTGAACCCTATGTTGTTGGGGGAGTGAAGTGACCTAGTCCTCAGTTCAGATTCTTTATGTAAGAAGAGAGAAAATAGCATTTACCTTATAGAACATTGTTCATAAAAGACTATAAAATATATAAGGATATAAGTAATGTACCTACAACTTGCAAACTTTATATACAAATTATTATATTTATCGATAAAAATAAGATGGAGTATCTTACCAAGGATAAATTCCAACTGCGGTTCATTTGGCGTCTTCTGAATACCTATAAATAACAGGTAAGAATTCAGATTAAAGATATTTAAGTCATTATCAAAAATATGTCATTGAATATTACTATATTTCACCATGCCTGGAATATATTAGTATATTATTTGGCAGAATAAAGAAAGTCAATTGATCAGGTTTATAAGCAGTGGGTTCTCAGGGGAAGACATAATATTTGTGACAGAACTAGGTATAACTAAAAATTTAACTGAGCTACTTAGCTCCATAGCCATTAAGAATCTCAAATATTATAAGCTGTGACAAATATAAAACATTTCCCACTGTGTCTGTTTCTTTTAAACGCATGGAGATAGAGATGGAACTTTCAAAAAAGGACAACCTCTCCAACGCACTCTTCCATATAGAGTTTTCTTTTAAACCACTCCAACCTGCTATACACAGTGAATTACTAATTAAAAAGCTATCTCTAGATAGGTTATGAAGGATATTATGCTGGTGGTTATACTGCTAGCTTATTGATAGCTCAAATCAACATTCCATTAAATGCCTCTATTTCTCTTTTTGGAGGTTTTTGTATAAAAAATCTAATAACATGGCTCAATGATTTAAGATGCAGTAGAAGGGAAAATAAGTCTGAGGACAAAGGTAAGGAAATGGAAACATCTAACGACTGAAGGTAGAAAGACCAGGGTGTGATAAGTGAGAATGGCAGGTGAATGCCTAAAGACATTCTTACACACAGTGCAAGAGTGGATGAGGCCTGGGATGCCATTTGTTAGCTCTCATGGTGGCCAAAGAGGCAAAACTAAATTATGGACAAGTAAACCATTTGGCAGTAATGTAAGAATATTATGCAAATCATTTCCTTCTTTATTTTTATTGGTGGACTCATCAGATACTATTTAAATTTAATAGCATCTGGCCACTAATATATTGTTAGAACCACCTCTCTGTATAAAAATCATCCATTTTTTATTTATAGAGCTCACAGGTTTTGCATG